TCAAATCGAGGCCATCTTCAGAAAACTATTGGCACAAACACAAGTATAACATCTTCATTTCGACTTATTTTCGTCAATAAACACTGAGAAAAAGGAGAAAGCCGAGTTACCATGGCAAGGCATTTTCACGAAAACATGATCGAGGTTTAGTGTTGTCATCGCCTAAATTATAGAACGCTCGGATTAAAGTGTCTACACGTATAAGAATACCGAAGGACTTGAATAACACTAGAATTGAAATACTACTCGGATTGTTCACTGCGAGCGCAATGATATTGAAAGGAGTGGAAGACTTGGGACTTGGCAGAAGTGCCGGAAACTGCTAGGGAAGAACGCGAAGATGTCGAGATTGTTATTGGAATAGGAGTGAAACCGAGCGGGCCGGTGCCGAGGTTCGTGTGGAGAAGATTGTCTGGAGACGAGTGGGAATGAAGGCTGGGAGCAGATGCGCTAATAATTCATATTCTAATCGGCAGTTACATGTTTCCCTTGTTACCCTGATGTTTTCACATGTCTTCGAATCTGATGCAGGAAATCTAAGTTGGTGGATGGTGAAATTTACTTGTTTGATACGTGATGATAGAAATTGAGCAGTCAAGTAGTTTGGTACATTGCTATAACTCGTGTTATCAACGTCAAAGTTTATCTTAATTTTGATGATGAAGGTCATAATGTATTCAGTAAAATATTAACAAATCATAAATAATTATTGCGTAGTTTGGCATTAAATTTAATTTGTTTAATGGCTCGTTGGTCTAGGGGTATGATTTTCGCTTAGGGTGCGAGAGGTCCCGGGTTCAAATCCCGGACGAGCCCACAGATTTTTGCATATAGCGTTTTTAAATAAATATTATCGACATTTGTTCACAATTAAAACTAGTACCTAATTGGAGTGTTTTAGCTGGATAAGTCTCTAAACACAATTCGAATGATTTTGTTTTACATTTTATAAATTTAAAAAATACACCATATAAATAATCCTGCAAAATTTTACAATTCTTTGTCTCCACAATTTTTTTGCATTTCAGGTGTTTTCATCGGCTCGTTGGTCTAGGGGTATGATTCTCGCTTCGGGTGCGAGAGGTCCCGGGTTCAAATCCCGGACGAGCCCGTTAAATATTTTGTGCTTTGTTATTATCACCACATAATCTAAATATTTGCACTTCCCATCTCAAATTGAAGCAACAAATATCTCATATTTCTAGCGGGAACTTCATATAACTGGATATTAAACTCTAGAATCGGAATGTGTAAGTAAAATGAGCAACAAACAATTGTACCAAATCGAAATGTAGAAGAATGTTATTCGCGTTTAAACGACTACGTGAATGTGCATATGGACCAACCACCAAACAAGAGAGCCGGGCCGAGAAAAACGGTAGTAACAAAGTCGAGAAAATTGCAGGAATTGGTTTTATGCGCTTTTCAGCATCTAAAAAGAAAAGTAGCCGTATACGAGATGCCGTTATATGCTATATGGTTTTGCAGGTCTTGCACATCGTGCATGTGGTGTGAGCGAATGTTCACCATGAGCAAAACGCCAATTCTCTTTTCAATTTTATTGAAACGGCGATGGCACGAGACGGGAAAACGACCGAGGCGTCAACGCGCCAACGTCGACGCCACTCAATACGGCTGCAGCGAAACGGCTTTCGGAACGATGCAAATTGTGTATATTTCATTAGGGCGCGCGTTCGGGCTCAGGAATGAGAGGGCCGGGGAATTTACAACGACTGTAAAAATGGTAACGTTTTCACCAACGCTCGCCGGGGTAAGTGTTTCCTTATGCGCGCAACGTTCCGACCGTTTCTGACGTTCTTAACTTATTTGTACGTTTGTACGAGTGATGTACTTCTTTGGGATTCTCGCGCAGCCACTGCCGCTGTCGTATAGTGGCAGACAGTAAAAAACCTAACGAAATGAGTAAAAAACGTTACAACTGGATCAAGGCGGACGCGGTGCACGACAGCAGCAAGCCCTTAAAGGTATGTGTTAAGCGCAAAATTGAAAATATGAATAAAACAAGTCACGTGGTCGTAACCACAAGAGAACCACGAATTTGTAGTACGACATGCGCACATGCAGAAAATGCGTGCAACATTTTTCAAATGTCCGTTGAATGTTTCGTGTTTTACTTTGCATTTCGCTGCACAAAATTTGCATCTCAACGTCGCGTGTTGGTATTCTTGGTGGGACCTTGCTGCAAGGCACGTGCTTTGCTGCTTTGAAGTCGCCCAACTCAACCTCTCCGCTTCTGGTAGGACCCGGTGCCTGTAGTTATTGGAATAGTTGCGGGCATGCGGGACTGGAGTCGCGGACAAAGTCAAAGTCGTGAGGCGGCGTCGGCAGTGACGGTGGTAAGCGTCCGTTGGCTTGGCGTCGACGTCGGTGCGTCCGGAATGGCGGGACATCTACATCTACGTCGACATCAACATCAACATCACGCCCGTCTATTGTACGGCGGCGTTTATTAGGTTCCTCTGGCACTCAATAAAACCAAATACGTGAAAGGAATACCGGACACTGCGCTTCTTGGGCATAAACCGAACGCTGCGGTTTGGTCCCAGTTTGCGTTTAACATGCAATCAAAGTATTGTTGACAGTTGAAATAGTCAGTAAATGATTTTTTTAGTCATTTTACACATAATATTTTGTTTCTTGGTGTAAAAAGTTAAATTTTCGAGAAAAAAGCGCGGGCTCGTCCGGGATTTGAACCCGGGACCTCTCGCACCCTAAGCGAAAATCATACCCCTAGACCAACGAGCCGATACTCAGTAACTTACCGTTAAATATTCGCGAAATTAATTAATAAGTCACATGATTATAAATAAGTCAATACCACATGCGCAGATAAGATAAGCGCATTGTCATTAAAATTTTCATGAGTCAACCAAATCTAGATATGCTCAGATCGTCGGCAAAACAATTTTGTGGTTTGGAGATGGACACGATATAAATATGTATGTTATGATTAATTTTATTTAATCAAAAATGATTAACTACGGGCTCGTCCGGGATTTGAACCCGGGACCTCTCGCACCCGAAGCGAGAATCATACCCCTAGACCAACGAGCCGGGATGATGACGTAGCAATTATTAAACAAACTTCATGAACAAATGTTCTCAGTTGTTAATTTAATACACATATTGTTTAAAAAAAAAAGTGCGGGCTCGTCCGGGATTTGAACCCGGGACCTCTCGCACCCTAAGCGAAAATCATACCCCTAGACCAACGAGCCGATGCGTAATATTTTAGCATTAAATATTCGCGTAATTAATTATTAAGTCTCATTAACATAAATAAGTCATTACCGCATTTGCGGATAAGATTAGAGCATGATAATATTTCCATTGGATGACCAATTCTAAATATATATTTATATTGTGAGCAAACTTTTATCACGTGGTTTAGAGATGTATTCAATATAATTTTTTTTTATTATAACTTTAAAATATATGTCAACGCGGGCTCGTCCGGGATTTGAACCCGGGACCTCTCGCACCCTAAGCGAAAATCATACCCCTAGACCAACGAGCCAGATACCTTATCACAAAATAGTTAATTTCGTGAAATTTTTCTGTTTAGTTAAACTTATATCAAAAACGATTTTTGCTTGTTTATTTATAAAATGTAACTGATTGAGTCTGTTCAACGCCAACAAATTTATCCTTTTAAGTGAATATATAAACTAAACGAATTTCCCTGTAGTGCGAACAGTATTGCCGCCTCAGCGATGCAATTTTCTCAGTCGATATTTCGTTATCCCATCAGCGCAACGCTGCATCTTCACTCCTGCTAGATGCATGTTGGATGAAGCGATGATATCGCGATGTGCAGCAGAAGATACGTTTATTTATAGCGGGCGCCCTACACACACACACTCTTGCAAGCACAGGTTTTTGCATAAATATACCAAGCAAATACGTCGGATACCCGACGAGCGGAAGTGTCGAAAACAAAGTGCCAAAACCGCTTCATCTTGTTTCGAACATCAATGCGTTCGCCTAAGGAACTTTCCTGAGATAGCTCCGCTAAAACTGAGGCCTGGATTACACTCGCACGTTAAAACTCAACGAAACCAGGATGAAAAGAAAGTTGACGAGAAAAGAGGGATCAGAACGGACCTAATGTGTGGGAAAAAAGTTGTGTGTGTATGCATAGATAGACGTAATCTTGTTTTTATTCGATTAGAATGTTTGATTTTAAATTTCACAATGATTTCACTGTTTTGATCAAAGCCGCTAACAAATTTATGATAACATTGATAAATAGACAAATTCTAACGAAAATAAATTCAAATATTCAGTTTAAAATCAAATTTTGAGCTTTTGATGTAGGCAACCTAACATACACCGACTTAACTTAAGTATTTGGTTCACCGACTTAAGTTTATATTCTCAGAATAATAATATGAAATTAACGTTATTATAATAAAGTTTAGACATTTAGATAATGTTCGAACCCATTATTATTGGATCAAACAAAATTATCAGCTTCAATCAATGTTTATTTAATTGATTAAGCTCGTAATTGAATTGTGTTGGAGATTGAAGACGCGCTGTTGTCTTCATAAGCCTACTTCTGAGAAGGAGCAAACCCAGCCGGAATAATCATCGAAATTATAATAAATTATTCAAGCAAACGATCCTAAATTGCGGGTTCGAAAGACTCTCGCCAAGCGTATATAACCAGAGAGTCTAAATACATCGCATCGCATCCATGCCGTTTAGTAATAATTTACGATAATTCAGCAACGAGCGCGGGTCCCTGGGTCCCGCGTCCCTTCAAGACGACTAACAATTTTAAATTGACCCGCAAAGGTTAAACTCATAATTCGTATTCGTACCACCTAAATTGATGCATTCTTAACCAAGCTCTTAGCGATCAAATCCACTGTCTATCATAAAATTACATTCATTAAAGTACGTTAAGTTTTTTCAGTGCGCGCGTTCAATTAGTGGCTTAATAATTAATTGGAAAAGCGTTATAGTCTACTCACCGTTAATGCATTCAGTTGTAAGCTCCATTATGATTCCATTTTTATACTTTAGTGATTTTAAATGTCAAATTAACTTGTAAAACAATCATTTCATTAAAATTTCGCAAATAAACAGTTTATATAAAAGTCTTAAACAAATTATTTAATATTAAAATATTTTTAAATATTTTTAAGATAATTTACAAATATGGTGTTTATTTATCGTTGCTTATAGTGTAATTTGAGATTGATTGGTATGCAAATTGTGCCTAAATTTGTTTACGCAGAACATAAATGTCACGTGCACCACGCGTCGCGCGTCTTTCGTACACGACGTAAAACCATGCGCTCAGCAGGCGAGCCGGTCTGATGCGTTCGCAGGTCGGTCGAGCGACTGACTGAATGCGCCCAACGGCCCAATGCCTTCTTCGCCTCCTGCTGCCGCCAGCGCCTATACTTCGAGTTGGTTATGTTGACGTCGAACCGCCGGCACGTTGTCGACGCGCAGGCGAGAAACCTTTATCAGGGTAACGCCGCATGCCAGCAGGATCTAGCCCTACGAATGGTAGTAGTGGCGCCGCCTGTTGCCGTCGTTCTAAAACTCATAAATAGCTGGGATTTACAGCAGGATAAAAACGATTAAGTTTCCTTTAAATTCACCCTTGTTAAAGGGTAGCTACCCTTGTAGTTTTGGTAAGTATAAGATTTTCAGGTAGATGTAGTTGTTTATCAAATGTCCTATTCGAGGAATACTTGACTTTTACTCGCTGCACATTGCAGGAAAAACACGGAAGCATTCGAATAGATGGTCTGGATTATTTAGCTCAGGTAACTTTGGATCGATAAAAGTTCACTGCGAATACACGTGACATTTGTGGGGTTAGGCAGTTAGGCATGACTGCGATTGAAGATACCAGCGGAGACAGCAGGAACAAAGTGCGTTTAATAAATAATTAACCTTTGTGCGTATAAATTGTGCTTACGATGCTGTTAATGCGGTGGTGCGTTGCTAAAGTTTAGATTTTATGGCAATACCTAAATTTGATGTGAAAATGTTTAATTTATATTTATTTACACGTTCCAAATTCAGTTTATAATCAAGTTTAAATCAAATTAATTCAGTAATTTCAAACTATAACGCTTAGGAATTGTTGCATAGCAGGTCTTTTGCGATACGCCAAATTTGCTTCCGCAATTCGGAGAATTTCAACAACCTGGTTTTGAATGACCACAATAATATACCGAAGCCTAGGTGCAAGTGCATTAGTTTGTTGATTGTGGCTTTATGATATTCGCGTGAGCAGCACATTGGCGGTGGTTGCCGTAGCGACTGACCGCACTCCAAAGATACGGCCGGCGGAGTGGCTCGACGGAAAGGCGGAATATGCATTATTAACTCTTCATTTACAAGCCGCTCCGGCGTTCGTTCGCTATTCCTGCGGCCTCTGTGCAAGTTTCGAAATATTCAAATATGCATTTGCGGGGCACCTATTCACATATTCACTTCGCGCTGGTGCAGCCACTGACATTCGCCATTTCCACGATCAATGCTTAATGTGTGCAGTGTTCAAGGTTCAAGTAGCGCGGGTAAGTGCGGCGTGGCGTTATGGCACAAGGCCCAAGTGTAATATGCATGCGCGAGTGCATAAATATTGCATTGGCGCGGAATTCAGACGTAAAGCGTGCAAATGTGGAAGTCACTTATATCATCAAATCTACATCTATGTTCAGCCAGTTAGAATTTGTTTCTATGTTGTAATATAGGTACATTATACAGCGAACTATTTTCAACCATTGCATATATCAACTATTTTTTAATACAAAAAGACAAAATTTTGTTTAAAACATTTTTAGACTAGAAAACAAGAGTAAACAATTTATCACTATAATTATAAGCGGTCATTAATGACGATTGCATTTGATGTGGGTACAGCTATTGCAAAAGCGTAAATTCCTGCTGAGCAACGATGGTGTCGATTACTATCGGCCGCTTTAATATTTGATTGCCATTATTGTTGTATTTGCTATTGTGAAATAGCGCTCGGATGAATTGTAGCGCTCGTGTAAATAACCGCGCGCGCGCAGACTCGCGACGGCGGCGGCATGTTTGAATGGTTTATGGCACATTGGGACATTAGACATCGGCGACAGATAACAAATGTCTCGATCATAACTCATCCCGTTGAGTTGTCGTCGCGCACGATTCGTTATTAATGCCAACATGGCAACAATTAAAATAATGAAGCGTGAGGGCTTTACCATCAGTATATTTGCAAAAAAAAACTTGTTGCTGTTAGAAAGGATTGAACTACAAAAATACAGTTCTTCGAAAGGACAACGAGAAATTTAATTCCGTGGAAAATGAAAGATTTCAATAAATATATTTACTAGCCGGTGAAGTAAAAATGATGGTGATAAATTTACACTTTACACACCTATGCAGACATAAACGACTATCAGGCACATGAGTTATAACCAGATAGTTGCAATAATATACTTATATAACTAGCACAATGTACAACGACTAGTGGCAGTGTTTGAAACACGCGATTTTCTTGAACATTTTCTTTCCTGCTCAACACATTGAATTCAGCAATCAGAAGCCACAAATAGAAACCAGTACCGGTACCAGTAGTGCATGTAACAATAATAATAATAATTACCAGCCTTTAATCTAGAAAATTAATGACGATTATTAAAAAGATATACGACGAGCGCTTGCTAGCGCTGCTTGTGTTTGACATTTCGCCGGCTCTCGTTCGATGATAATGTAAATATAATTTGTTTGCATGCCTATTTTCTTCGTCTGCCACACCAGCTCATACTAATATGCACGTGCCAGTTCATCTTATTACTTTGCCTTTCTTTTCTTCTTGCTGTCATACTCACACAGCTCGTGCACGTATCATAATGGTAGCTACGGTCTCTCGAAATGCCGTATACTCGAAGTTGCAAATTGCTCATAGCACTCATACATATCTTATAAGAATAAAAGCATCCAGAGTCACACTGGGAGAGAAGAAAGAAGCAGAGAGGCGCAAAAGCAGCACACGTGTGGGACATAAATACACGTAATACGCAAATAAATATCTATCATAAATAACTAATATTTCTAATTAACCATTAAACGAAGAGAAATGTTCGTTGGAAGAAATTTCGTTGCATGCATGAGCATCCTATCACAGCGAGGAGCATTACATGAAGAATTGTACAAGCATCCAAGTTGAAATAGACTAATGATTATTAATTAAAATAGTTTATATCGCTCTAAAATAACTTATGATCGTTCCAACAATTAAATAAAATAAAAATAATATAAAATAAATTTTTGCCCGATAATATGAAACAATTTTGTTTATTTACCGATTCATTCAACTTTGGAAACACTACATCTAAATTGAATGAATTGTATTTAACTGCTGACTGAGCGGAATGCAAAACGCGTAACAAACGTTGCATTTATTGTACCATTTCCTGTTCCCTCTACGAATGTTTAGATTTGCTTCGCACGCATTTTCCTCCCTCTGCCCCTCAGAGTTTGCAACCCAATTCAACTCAATCAATTCGTGTTTTATTGCTTATTGTCGTTGCCTCTTCGTTTTCATTTCCCAATAACACAATAACTTTATATATTTGAAGCAAACGGATTAAGGCCTTTCATTATTATGGTAATAAACGCGTAAGAATGAAACGTTAAATATAGAAACTCTCTAGTCGCACAGGAACACCTGCTACAATCTTCAATTTTGTTGCTTTGCGCTTCCAACTGGATGCCGGATCGTTACTCGCATCTTGTCGTGTTTGTATCTGTCACGAATTACACGGGCAACGTGTGACACCTACGACCGAGCCGTAAATCACCGTCGCGGCTGACTCAAGATGGCTAACTCTTTGTACTTACACGCGGTTGGATAATGATACATTAAGACCGTTCCAGAAACTTGCTGAACCGTGCCATGAATAATTTTTGGAGCAAGTACTTATATGTCAAGGAATATTTATTCATATTTGTTGTTTGCGATCAATGTAAGTATTTGGTGTTTCGGCGACTTAAGTAGACAGTAAATTTACAGCTACGGTTGAAGTGAGCATCAAACTAAGGCTTAACCTTTGTTAGTATCCGGATAGTCAAAGTTATAGACGCTTTCCTGCTTGAAACTCTAGGTACTTTCTCCCAGCACACCGTTCTATCATGGCGTGAATCCCCTTGTTTAAACATGTCCCTGTCTACGCTGCCAGGTCGCCTTGAATGAACAAAGTTCAATGTGTCAAGAAAAGTTTGGGAAGGCATAAATTCTCGACTCGGATTCTCGTTCCTCGACTGCATTTGTACGAAAAAAAAAAGCACAATTAGTATTTTTGGCAAAACATGTGCTAAAATACCCACTGCTTTATCTTCCATGATGAATTATTAGGTTATGTGTGGTTCCTTTTATTTCTACATCAGCACAAGAAGCTGTTGACTGCTTTCTTTGTTGTGCCCTTGAGTTCAAGGGAAAGAATGCGAGAAATATTAAACTATAAGTGCTGTTGTGGTAAATGAGGCGAGAAAAGTGCAAGGGTCGCAGATCCAATTAGCGTTATTGGCGGCACACGTGAGCAGCTCAAAAATGCGTCCTTTATTGCATCCCTGAACGTACTTGCTGGCTCACTCACACTCTTTTACCGCTCGTCGTTCATTTAGTAGTTTGCGATGTGTTGTTCGTGGAGTGCTGCGATGAGGTGTCAGAAGCATCCCTTATTTTCCCACAAAAAGCCATCTCGGCGCACGGCCCTCGCAATAACTAGCGTGAACGCACCGAAACGCATCGCGCGACTCGAATACGTAACATGCGAGGCATACGAGGAGTGTGAGAAAAATAGGCGTGATGCGTTCACGAAACTGCAATAACAATTTGTTTTCAGTTTGAGGGCGCACAATAGGAAATAAAAATCATAAAACATTGCGTGTTACATATTATAACAATGTATGTAAAAATATTGGTTTTCAGACAATGCCTTTTTACATTTTTTTAAATTTTTTAACTTTAATTGTCAAAATTAACTAAATAATAAGTAAGTCATCCATAATTTGTTGCTGTCGAGTACCATGTGTTGTTATGTGATTGCTCGCAAATAGCTCAATGTGAACGTGGAACACATTATTCTCATCTGATCTAGAACTCTGCTCGAAATACTTCTGGGGGCACCCTAACTCTACTGCATCCCTTATTTCTGCACGTCCATGAAAACCTATAAAAAAGTGGCACACGTACTCGACTCCCAGGACGCAACACGCCGATACAAATGAAGTCGGCTTACGCAACTGAACAAAACGTCATTGTGTGGAACGCATGGCGGCGACGGGACGACACAATAAGCACACACACGTAAGTTTATTCAC